AACTAAAAACATTTCCCTTAAGAACAGAAATAAGACAAGGATGTCCCTTTCACCATTCTTTTTTTTTTTAATTGTTTTTAAAAATATCTTTATTGATTTCAGAGAGGAAGGGAGAGGGAAAGAGAGATAGAAACACCAATGATGAGAGAGAATCATTGATTGGCTGCCTCCTGCACGTCTCCTACTGGGGATCAAGCCTGCAACCTAGTCATGTGCCCTTGACAGAATTGAACCTGGGACCGTTCAGTTTGCAGCTGATGCTCTATCCACTGAGCCAAACCAGCTAGGGCCCTTTCACCATTCTTATTTAACACAGTACTGGAAGTCTTAGCCACAGTGATCAGATAAAAAGAAGAAATAAAAGGCATCCAAATTGGGAAGGAGGAAGTAAAATCGCCTTTATTTGCAGATGTCATGATATTGTACATAGAAAATTCTAATGACTCCACCAAAATATGACTAGATTTAATAAATGGATTCAGCAAAGTAGCAGGATACCAAATTAACATTTGACAGTCAATGGCATTTTTTAAAAATATACTTTTATTGATTTTTTACAGAGAGGAAGAGAGAGGGACAGAGAGTTAGAAACATCGATGAGAGAGTTCAGCTGCCTCCTGCACACCCCACACTGGGGATGCACCCCCAACCAAGGCACATGCCCCTGACTGGAATCGAACCCAGGACCCTTCAGTCCGCAGGCCGATGCTCTATCCACTGAGACAAACCGGTTTGGGTGTTAATGGCATTTTTATACACCAACTAGAGACCCAGTGAATAACATTTGTGCACTGATGGGGGGAGTTTCCTCAGCACCCTCCCTAAAAGCAAAAATCTATCTCATATTTGTATTTTGATACGCTTTAAAAAAGTCTTTAACTGCCTGGCAAGTTGTTCAGTGGTTAGAGCATCAGCAGGAGGACTGACGGTTTTGGGTTTGATTCCCATCAAAGACAAGTACCTTGGTTGCAGGTTTGATCTCTGGCTCTGGTCCAGGCATGTGCCATAGGCAACCAGTTGATGAGTCTCTCTCACATTGATGTTTCTCTCTCACTCCCTCTCCTCCTGCCCTTCATTCTTCCTCTAAAGATCAATAGGAAAAATATCCTTGGGTGAGGATTAAAAAAACCTTGAGCTGATAAATATAGGCCTTTTTCAGTTTTAGTGTTTTTTTCCTTCTGTCATATTCAGATAACTTTCTCAGAACTGGAAAATGTTGTGCTTGGAACACAATTATTCATTGTCCTTCATGGGTGTTGCAATTTTTCATAACATAGCCATTTATGTTTTTGCCAGTCACAATCCAAACGTTAGGTTTACCCTGAGAGGCCCTGCTTGCTCCATGCAGTCACTTGGGGCTTGACATTGACTCACTGTCTTTGGTCAAAGACTTCTTTTTTGAGCATCCACCACCAACTCTGTACTTTGAAAGCCTCTTGACAATGCTCTAAACTCACTATCATTGAAACTGGGTCTGGGCCAGCCTCAGCATTTAATCCCCAAAGACCTTAACATTAGGGCTTGCTATGGAGTCAGCTCAGATTTTAATGACAGAGAACACTGAAAATGATATTAACCCAGTTTTTAAAAATATATATATATTTTAATTGATTTTTTTAAAGAGAGAAAAGGAGAGGGACAGAGAGCTAGAAACATCGATGAGAGAGAAACATCAACCAGCTGCCTCCTGCACACCCCCCCCCCAAGGAATGTGCCCACAACCAAGGTACATGCCCTTGACCGGAATCAAACCTGGGACCTTTCAGTTTGCAGATGGACGCTCTATCCACTGAGCCAAACCAGTTTCGGCTTAACCCAGTTCTGAACACCATGATACATACCCGCTGAAATCTGACTTCCACATTTGCCCACAGTTACACCAGTCCCGAGGAGAAGAGATTTCGTCTTGTCTGAGTTTGATTCTACAGGGGCCTAGATTGGCATGGGCCTAGATGGGCACAAGGAAACCCTACACTGGGGATTTTCCCAAACAAATGGTAGGCTTTTTTTTTTTTTTTTTTTTTTAACTGGAGAGGGTGGTTCCCCAGGCAGCTGCAACTTGCTGACATGTTTCCAGTTCCCTCTCCCTGGTAGCAGAAGTTGGTCCTACATATCCATTTACATTAAAAAAAAATTTTTTTTAAATTGGTTTCAGAAAGGAAGGGAGAGGGAGAAAGAGATAGGAACATCAATGATAAGAGAGAATCACTGATGGCTTCCTCTTGCACGCCGAACACTGGGGATGGAGCCCATGGGCATGTGCCCTGACCGGGAATAGGTTGGTACTTAACCACTGGGCCACACTGGCTAGGCTCAGTTTAAATCTCTTATCTTTGCTTTATTTATTTCTACAATTGGGGGGTGCTGCTGGGTTTCAATATTCCAAAATAGTCTCATCTTCCTGGGAAACATCTGCATAATAGCTGCTTCTGAAACTTGTACCTGTTACCTTAACCTGCGTACCCTCCATTCTGGCAAGAGATAGGAATTCTTATCAGTGCAAGGGGCATCTAAACGTTGAGAATTTAGCATAGTGCTAGACTATGACTCTGTTACAGTCACTGCCTGCATCGGGGCTCTCCCCTATTTAGTTTGGGCTAATGGGTAGACTTGGAATACAGCTAAGAGAAGATGTTTATCATGGTCATAACCTACAGGACAAAGGTACCCCAGACCAGCTAATCCTTCACAGGCTTGGTAGACTTTGGGACCCCAATTAAATTTTTAAAAGGAATATTTTGAAAAGCTATGTCAGCATCAATTACCTGGCTTGTGTAGGGAAATGGGAGGCTATTGCAGGTACCAGCTGAGGCCGGTCATGCCACCCGGGAAGTCTGCCACCTGAAGTATTGCCACCTGGAGATATGAGAAAGGCTACGTTTCCTTTCAAAGTTTCCAAGAGGATGAGAGCAAATTTAACAGAACCTGTTTTCTGAAGCTCACAGTCCCTCTGCTCCAGGAAACATGATAGCAAGGCCTGCTGCTGAGGTGCTGTATCGCAAATCAGCGAGCTGGACAAGACACCTCAATCAGCCAGTTAGTTAGGAGTCATCTTTATTGCGCACAGGTTCAGAGCTGGGTGTGGTCTCTGCAGGGTAGGGTGACAGGATGTCCCGAGTCTGGGGCGATTGCATTACCCCAGGCTGATGCCATATGGATCCCCCAAAAAACATGGCCAGTGATATGGGCGAGGGTGTCAGTATGGGGAGCCTAGTGGCTGTCACTTCAGTTCTCTCCCCAGAGCCACACACCCCGGGGGAGTGGCTGTGTATGAGATTTTGTCTGTTGGCCCTTTAAGAGGGCACCTGTGTATCTAGCAGTGTGGGATTCCTCTCTGGCCGACAGAATCCCACTGATTTTCACGGCCAGATGTTACGTGGGCGCCTCCTACGGGATCTAGTGCTTTGGACTGGGAAGCCCAGCGTGGGGTTGAGATCCCACACCCCGCAGGTGGGACCTTTGCAGCAGGGCTATCCCTCCGGAGCCTCAGCCACGCCCTGGGAGTGGGCCCAGCCCTTCTCACGTCTCAGACCTTCCTATCAGCCCTGATGTGGCTTCTTCTCTAAATCCCTGGCGATCTGGCTTCTGTTCAGCTCGTCTCCAGTTGACTCTTTAAAGTTGCTTGTTCTGTATTTCAGTTGTAACTCCAGTTTGGTCCTGGGAGGAGGGAAGAGTAACTGCCACTTCCTCTGCCATGATCGTGGCCACCCTCAGCACTGAGGAAGCAGTGGGAAGCTGTCAGAGTTACCCCTGCTGGGCTTTTTAATCCGTTTTCCCGTGGCTTCTTCCATGCTGGGGTCTCTAACAGCTTCCCGCTGTGGCTGGTGGGCGGTTCCTCATCTTTCATTTACTCTAACCTTGTTCCCCTTTGCAAGGAATTCCTTTTATTAAAGTCCCTTATTTTAAACTCTAGGAAGAATTCTGTTTCCGCCTGGTATAAGGGCTCTCTTCTTACTAGTAAATTTATTCTGAAACGTTGAAGTAGTAGAAGACATGTCTGTCATGGGCGTGCTCAGGCCTCCAGACCGCAGTAACAGTAGTTTGGAGCTAATGTCTCAGAACTAACACCAGAGGCTATTTTTATCACTTCTTCCATTCTGCACAGATCTGTCTAGAACACCTCACAGGCGGGATTGACTTGGGTTGGGAAGAATTTTCATCCTCCTGAGTCCTTGGACCATAATACCTTCTAATATTATCTTGCTCCTGCCGAAACCGGTTTGGCTCAGTGGATAGAGCATCAGCCTGCGGACTGAAAGGTCCCAGGTTTGATTCCTGTCAAGGGCATGTACCTTGATGCAGGCACATCCCCAGTAGGGCGTGTGCAGGAGGCAGCGGATCCATGTTTCTCTCTCATGGATGTTTCTAACTCTATCCCTCTCTCTTTCTCTCTGTAAAAAAAATCAATAAAACATATTTAAAAAATAATATTATTATCCTGCTTCTACCATCATGTCTAACAAAGTTCTGTTTGCCTCTTCGCATGGTCGGGGTGGGTTTCCTCCCAGCAGCATCCAGTGGCAGCATCCACACAGGGCTGCCATGGTGACACAATATTAGGAATTGCACAGCACAGCTTGCATCCCGCGTGGTGAAGGGGATTTCCCCGGGAAAGAGAACAGCAACTGATTTACATTTATCGGCTCCAGAGCTCAATCAACGCTGCCTACAAAGTCAAAGCAAGTAGGACAGTCTCTCCAAAGGGACCTCAGCTCTAGGATGCAGACCTCAGACATTGCCAGGAGCGCTGCTGATCAGCACGCACGTATCTGAGCAGCTCTGCGAGGAGCAGCGACTGTCTCCGCGCCGGGAGCCGGTGGGTGGGGAGAGTGCTGAGTGGCACACGCAGCTCTTCTGCTTCCCGTTTCCCGTTTCTGTAAAGTTGCTGAGGAGTCACAGTGCCCAGACCCAGCCTCACACTCTGTGCGGACGGACGCCGCCCCGGGACCTGCGCTGCCCCTGCCCCTGACCGCCCCGGAGGAATGCTCACCTCCGGCCTCATGCTGCCGTGGCTGCTGCTGCTGGCCCTCGGTGGGTGGAAAGCCAGAGCGGGACCTGGGTGGGACCCGAGCGGGACCACCTGTGTGTGGGCATCTCAGAACTCTTTTACTTATTTATTTATTTACTTAAAAATATTTTATTGATTTTTTTTACAGAGAGGGAAAGAGAGTTAGAAACATCAATGAGAGAGAAACATTGATCAGCTGCCTCCTGCATACCCCCTACTGGGGATGTGGCCGCAACCAAGGAACATGCCCTTGACCGGAATTGAGCCTGGGACCTTTCAGTCCCCAGGCCCATGCTCTATTCACTGAGCCAAACGGGAAAGAGCTATTTATTTACTTTATAAAGTTTACTTTTGTTTTATTTTTTTATCCTCACCCGAGGATATTTTTGAGGATATATTATGGATATATATATATATATATATATATATACCCGAGGGATATCCATTGTCTTTTAGAGAGAGTGGAAGAGGGAGAGAAAGACAGACAGAAATATCGATGTGAGAAAAGCACATCGATTGGCTGCCTCCTGCATGCACCCTGACCAGGGCCAGGGAGGGGAGGAGCCTGCAACCGAGGTATGTGCCCTTGACCAGAATCGAACCCGGGACCCTTTGGTCGCAGGCCGATGCTCTAGCCATTGAATTAACCGGGCCAGGGCTCAGCGCCTCTTTCAGGGCACAGGTCTCTCTGCTGGGTGGGTGCGAAGGGGCTTCAGCTTCTACTTCAGGACTAAGCATTGTGCATTGGCTGCCGAGCACAGCAAGGCCCCGGGGAAACCAGCGGACTGCAAACCTCTTTTCCAAATGCTGACTCCTCCTTCCTTTGTTCCACATTCAGTAATGCTCTGGTCTCTGGGTCTTCTTTACGGACAGCAGAGGAATGTTCTGCTGCGTAAACTGTTTCCATCCACTGACATACACTCGGCTTCCACCCACCCCACTGCAAGACACCGGCAGTTTTCTCCATCTCTGCCTTTCCCCGACTTATGTTCTGGCCAGGCTTTGCAATCCTGCTGGTTGTGGCTTTTGCTGATAAAGATGAGTCTAGTATATGGATGCAACCATAATGCCAGACCTAGAATAGGGGGTGAGGGAGGAGCGGGGTCCATGATGGATGAGGAGACACCTCCATTTCCTTCCTGGCCTTGCCTGGCTTCTGTGTTGCCACCAGGCAGGCAATGTGTCTCAAACACAATCATCTGCCTTATAACATCTGGAAAGGTGAGGTGGGAGAGGAATAAGTATATCGGGAAGCGTCTGAGAATTTGCCTGCAGAGCAGCCAGCATCTGGTAAGGGTTGTGTACAACAACTGCTAAGGGGGATGAAGGACGTTTATAAATTGTCAGGGCCTGCACACTGGGTTCTGTGGGAGAGCTGTTTGTGAGAGAGGGAAGGAAAAGGGGATAAATGAAGGGGGGAAGCGGGAGGAAGGGTAGAGGGAATGAAGAGTGGGGATAGAAGAAAAGCAGGACGTAGAGAGGTGCTGGGAAAGCAGTCAGGGAGGGGCGGATGTGTCTGAGAGCATACCCATCGTGGTGCAGCGCTAACCTCCCGCCTCTTCCCGCACAGGCCCTGCCGGCGTCCGGCCAGGTGAGTCCTTCTTTTCTTTGCTCTCTGAGATCTCTGGGAAGCATGGGTGCTCGCCCTCCCAGGCAACGGAGGCACTGCCTGTTCCAGCCTCTGAGCGCAGGGCTGCAGGGATCAGGCCCACAATTGGGGTGAAAAGAGTGGGGGCCAGGGCCTCACCCTCGACCTCGCAATGGCACAAACGCTCCAACCTCACCTTCTCTGCTTGAAAGGCAGGAAGTTGTTTTCTCTTTATCATAAGCTCCCGGACAGAAACCACGTGCACTGTGAAGGGAAAGCAAACCATGTAATGTGCCCTTGAGAAGGCACGTTCCCGGGGATGGCCGCAGACACTCCCAAGCCCCGTCAGGGCAATGGAGGCAGGGGGGAGACACACTCCCTGTGACAGAGGGAGTCAGAGGAACAGGAGTGCTCTGCCTCACACAGGACCATCCCTCGACATTCTACTCGGATTGCAAGCTATCCAGGCACAACTCATTTTCCATTATTATTATTGTTATTATTATAATTATTATTATTTAAATATGTATTTATTGATTTCAGGGAAGAGGGGAGAGGGAGAGAGAGATTGAAACATCAATGATGAGAGAGAATCATGGACCAGCAGCCTCTTGCATGCCCCCTTACTGGGAATCAAGCCCACAACCTGGGCACGTGCCCTTGACCAGAATCAAACCCTGGACCCTGCGGGCCGCTGGCTGACACTCTATCCCCTGAGCCAAACCGGCTAGGGCTCATTATTATTAAAGTTATAATGTAATAAAATATAGAGGAAAACTTGATTTTACTGTGTATTAGGCTGGAAAGTGACATTTTCTTCTTTAATCATTTATTTGGGAAAGTATTCTATTACGGGAGGAGACATACTATTATAGATCTGATACATTTTTATGCCTGACTATATAAATTGTATTATAACTGCAGTAATTTTAAGCAGGGATGTTATTAACACATTCTAGGGCCTCAGGGTCAGCCTCATACACTCCAGTAAACTTCCTGAGATTCCAGTAAAATGTGTATGAATGTGCATTTGCCCCTTCTTCCGGGGACCAGGTGAAATGTCAGCATTAACGGCCATTTGCCTGGATGTTTTAAAGACGTATTCTTGTTCCAGGCTCAGGACAGCCAGGAATTCATCATCTGTCATCTCTCTGGTGGTGACATAAATCTTAACTATTTTCAAATATTTGTTTAATCAAGTTGGTTTTATCTCTACCCTCTTCACAGAAAAACCTCGCCCAGTATCAACCTAGAGAAAGGAAATGTTGGGCCCTCATGAGGGCTTAAGATTTCTCTCTCTTTAATAAGAATAAGTGCCTCTGCCGGTCACTGGGACCGCTCTGTCTGAGAGCGGGACTTTCCAAGTGGCCAAAAGGTACAGAGCCGTTGTCTCTGAACTGGTTTGACCACTTTGCTCTGTCAGGAGCCAAATGTTAGTCTTGCCTCCAACATATTGTGCTGATTCCTATATTGAAATGCCAGTCAAGGACACATGCCTGGGTTCCAGGTTCGATCTCCAGTAAGCTGGTGGGGAGAGAGGGGTACAGGAGGCAGCCAATCAATGATTCTCTCTTATATTGATGTTTCTCATTGATGTTTCTATCTCTCTCTCCCCTCCTCTCTGAAATCAATTAAAAAAATATATATATATTTAAAGAGAGAGAGAGAGAGAGAAAGAAATAGCACTCACCTTTGCTGAGCAGGGAAGCCAGACGAGCCAGGAGATTCCAAGGAACCTGTGGCTGCTGCAGGAACAGATGTTAGCGTGGCTGGCGCAGGGCGTGCCACGTGGCTCCAGGCAGTGTTGCATCTTTTGCAGACTGGCTCAGCATCAGTCTGCAGCGCCATGCCTACGAAGGAGACAGGGTGGTTGTGAGGTGCTTTGGAGAAGAGAATGATAAAATAAAGAAACTGATGTACTACAAGGATGGATCTCAGATAGCCAGCTACTCTAGCGCCTCCAGCCACTCCATTTCCAACGCCAGACCCAGGGATAGCGGCTCCTATTTCTGTAAGGCAGATAGGACAAAATTTTTCTTCTTCACCGGGACAGAAGAATCAAGCTCTCGACGGCTCACTGTGCAAGGTGAGGGCCTCACGATTCAAGTGGGAAAGTCTGGGGTAAAGCAGAGCCTGTGTGGGAGGCCCAGGCTGCAGGGCAGAGGAGACCACCTGGAGAGGCATAAATTAGGGGTGTCTGTGTGGGGGGGAGTCCAGGGTTGGGTCCTGCTCACTGGGGCTGAGAAGACAAGGGACTTCTCAACAGGAGCTCCACAGCTCCCTGACTGGTCTCTGTTTAATTCTTCCCTGCAGAGCTGTTTCCGGAACCTTCCCTCACAGTCAGCTCCTTGCAGCCCATTGAGGACACCTCGGTGACCCTGTCGTGTGACACCCGCCTCCCCTCAGACAGGGCAGGGACCCAGCTTCGGTACTCCCTCTTCAGGGACGGCCACACCATAAAGCTCCAGAGCTCCTCCAGCTTTTGGACCTTAGCATTGCGGAAGGAGGACTCCGGGAATTACTGGTGCGAGGCAATGACGGCATCCGGCAGCGTCTCCAAGCGGAGTCGTCAGACCAGCGTCCAGGTGCACAGTGAGTGTCAGTGGCTGCGCTGGCGGGACAGCTGCTGTCCTCGGTGCGAGAGGGACCCTCTGAGCCTCAGAAACCTCTGGAGAGGAGAAGTCTAACAGAAACGTGCCGAGTACAAGGCGCTGCTCAGAGCAGTGTTGTATTCAGTGCTCCCAGAGCCCTGTGACATGCCGGTGTGAATAGTGTCTGTAAAGTAGGTACCGGTATCCTTCCCATTTCACACATGAGGAAACAAGGCACAGAGCTGTTGAGTGACCTGCCCAAGGGAACACAGCATGTAAGTAGCACAGTTGGGATTTGAACCTGAGCACTCTGGTGGCAGTATATACCCTTAAAAAATTATATCTATATATAGATATATAGATATCTATATCTATATCTATAGCTATATCTATCTCCTATCTAATAAAGAGGGAATATGCTAGTTAACCATAATACCATTGCAAAGATGACGCTGCCCACAGCCAATAAGGAGGGAATATGCTAATTGACTGCCCTGCCCTCAAAGATGGGAGCACACACAGCCATAAGAAGGCAGTGCCCAGTCCCCTCAGCCTCACCTCGGTGGCAGGTGCGGCAAGGCTGGGCCTACCCCCAGGCAGGCCCAGCTGCTCCACACGCTTTCCTCTGGAGTCCCTCAGTCTCCTCAGGCCCCCAGCCACCCAGGGCGGGCCTAAGACATAGGCAAGCCTTATGGTGGCTGACCAGCTGCCCAGGGCTGCCCGAGGCTTGCTTCCCACGACTGAGGGTTCCCAGACTGTGAGAGGGGGCTGGCTGGGCTGAGGAACCCCCGCTCCAGTGCATGAATTTTCATGCACTGGGCCTCTAGTGTGTGTGTGTGTGTGTGTGTGTGTGTGTGTGTGTGTGTGTATTTGATTTCAGTGAGGAAGAGAGGAGAGAGATAGGAAAATTAATGATGAGAGAGAACCATTGATTGGTTGTCTCCTACAGGCCCCATATTGGGGATTGAGTCTGCAAACTGGGCATGTGCCCTTGACCAGAATTGAACCCAGAACCCTTTGGTCCACAGGGAAATGCTCTATCCACTGACCAAAACCAGCTAGGGCGGTATATACCCTTTTATCCACCTTGCTATACTTCCTACCTCAACTATGCCAGTGGAAAGTGGTATCAAATTAGTGACCAATTGTAGAATATCTGCAGTGTAGTAGTTGCTTTATATAAGTACTAGAGGCTCAGTGCATAAAATTTATGCATTGGGGAGGGGGTGTCCTTCAACCCAGCCTGCACCCTCTCCAATCTGGGATCCCTTGAGGGATGTCTGACTGCCCATTTAGGCCCCTGGGATTAGGCCTAAATCAGCAATCAGACATCCCTCTCACAATCCAGGACTGCTGGCTCCCAACCGCTTGCCTGCCTGCCTGATTGCCCCTAACTGCTTCTGACTGCCAGCCTGATCACCCCCTACCACTCCCCTACCAGCCTGATCAACGCCTAACTGCTTCCCTGCTGGCCCGATTGCCCCTAACCGCCCTCCCCTGCAGGCCTGGTCGCCCCCAATTGCCCTCCCCTGTAGGCCTGGTCTCCTCCAATTGCCCTCCCCTGCAGGCCGGGTCACCCCTAACTGCCCTCTCCTGCCAGCCATCTTGTAGCAGCCATCTTGTGTCCACATGGGGGTGGCCATCTTTGACCACATGGAGCCGCCATCTTGTGTGTTGGAGTGACGGTCAATTTGCATATCACTCTTTTACTAGGTAGGATACCTATTGTTATGAAAAGTCTATGAAGTTGGTGAGCAAGTCTGAAGACGATGCCTCTGGCCATGCCACGCTGCCCGTCTGGTCCCTCCCACTGTCCCCCTTCTTCACCCTTGTGTCCACCCTTTAACATTAAGAAAACTGCTGCTCAAAGAGATGAACTGACCTACCAAGATCACATGGCAGAGCTGGGTGAGGACTGCGCGGCCTGTGCTTTCCCACCATCCTTCTGTCCCACGTGCGTCCGGAGGTCAGAAGGGAAAGATCCCTTTGGGCTGCAGCCATGAGAGGGCCAACAAGTGTGCAGGAAGTGAGAGGTCAGGTTTTCAGAAGACCGGGCTGCAGGGTGCGCTTGCCTGAGAGCCCTCAGCATGCTCCCTCCTCCCGGAAAGCTCTCCTCTGCATGAGAACTGTCTCCCACAATCCCACCTGCCACGGAGCTCAGCTGCTGGCCCCGGCCGCCCCTCCAGGCCCTCACCTGTCCTCTGGTGTTCCCGCAGGAATCCCTGTGGCTGGCGTGCTGCTGGAGACCCAGCCCCAGGGCGGGCAGGCCGTGGAAGGAAAGATGCTCGTCTTAGTCTGCTCTGTGGCTGAGGGCACAGGGGAAACCACGTTCTCCTGGCACCGAGTGGACACCAAGGAGAGGCTGGGGAGCAAGAGTCTGCGTTCCCGGAGGTCAGAACTGAAGATCCCCAACGTCAGGGAGAGCCACGCGGGGGGATACTACTGCGCGGCTCACAACACCGGGAGTCTGATCCACAGCGAGGTGCTGAACGTCACCGTGAAAAGTGAGTACCGCTGTCACCAACAGCCAGCGGCTTCCCGCGGGCCAGTCCCCTGGGCTGCAGTAGGATGTCCCTGGGGTGACCAGGAACAGGGCCAGGAAGAGGCTGAGAGCCCCGGAGGGTTGTCGTGGCGATGGTGGTGGCGGCGGCGGTGGGAGCAGCAGCATTCGCAGAGGAGCTGAAGAAGGGGGACAGTGGGAGGGACCAGACGGGCAGCGTGGCATGGCCAGAGGCATCGTCTTCAGACTTGCTCACCAGAAGTTGTCAAAGCTCTTCTGAAACGGTCTCTGCAGCTCTCAGTAGGGAGGTATGGCAGTGGGAAAGGATCCACGGGCTGGGAGATGCTGGGAGAACACTCGGGTGGGGATAGAGGGGGGTGAAAGCCGGTACCAGCGGGAGAGATCCTCTTTGATGGACCCTTCACTTTCTCTCAGTCCCAGCGTCGCACCCTGTCCTCACCATCAGCGCTCCTGAGGCCCGCGCCGCCATCGGGGACACGGTGGAGCTTCAGTGCGAAGACAAGAGAGCACACCCTCCTGTTCTGTACTCGTTTTATCACAAGAATATCTCCCTGGGGAGCATCCTAGTGCCTTCCGGAGGCAGAGCGTCCTTCAGCCTCTTTTTGACCAGAGAACACTCTGGAAACTATTCCTGCGAGGCCGACAATGGCCTGGGGGCCCAGCGCAGTGAGGAGGTGGCAATCCGCGTCTCAGGTAGGACATGAGGTCAAGCAATGGCTTATGTGTCCTTGAGTTTCCCTGTCCCTCAGGGCATCAGAGTTCAACTAGAGCAAGCATGTCAAACTCAAAGGCTAACATGGGCCAAATACACAAGGTTTGAGTTTATGGGGGCCACAAAAAACCCCCAGAAACTTCAATTTTCACAGAAACACAGGTTTATTTCAATAGAGACCTGCTGAATGCAAAGGGCTGAAATAAATGAGTCATCGTTAACACAAAATACTAAAGCATTTTAATAAAATTAATATTTTTTTCTTGGACATCAACTTACCAGTCACTGAATAACTGCACAAATTAATAAGCGTCATGCAAATAAACCTATTTCTCTTGTTCTCCAAAAGCAAAATATTTCCTGTTGCGCACACCAAACAACTCAGTCCAAGATGAATGACATGGACACCGGCTGCTAAAATATTCGCTGCTAGTATTAGCGGAGAGCAATGGTGCGTCTGCGCGTGAGGGAAATGAATGCAACACGATTATAGTAATCAGTCATTAGCGAACGTTGTAGTTCCTTATTAATAATTATGCGTAACAGGATATTATAAAAATTAAGTGACAACATTTTTATTAAAACGCTTCTTACATACTGTTATGTAGGCTGGGCAGCAAAAATACTCTTTATGGACCACATGTGGCCCGCGGGTCAGGAGTTTGACATGCTTGAACTAGCGTGTCCGTCTGTTCTCTTAGGCTTTCTTTCCCAACAGTATCACTGGCCTGCCCCTTGCCCTTCCAGTGACCCTTTAACTTTACATCATCAGGTGTGTGTGAAATAGATACTATTTGTAGGGCACTTTGCTGGGACAAATTAGCATTGAAAGTGGGGCATGGCCCTGGCTGGTTTGGCTCAGTGGATAGAGCATCAGCCTGTGGACTGAAAGGTCCCAGGTTCAATTCTGGTCAAGGGCATGTGCCTTGGTTGCAGGCACATCCCCAGTAGGGGGTGTGCAGGAGGCAGCTGATCGATGTTTCTCTCTCATCGATGTTTCTAGTTCTTTAGTCCTCTCCCTTCCTCTCTGTAAAAAAATCAGTAAAACACATTAAAAAAAATTTTTTTTAAAAAAAGAGAGAGAAAGAAAAGAAAGAAAAAGAGGCATGGCTATATCCCTGAGAAAGGAGGGCGGTCCCACTGAGAAAAATAGGGACACTCAGCTCAGTGGGGAAGAAGATACAACTAAGCTTTATACATACATAGGAAAAGGTAGAAAAACCATTAACAAACCATATTCTGGAATTCAAAACGTTACTGGGATTATCTCATTTAATCTCCACGACAACACTCATTTTGCTAATAAGATTTAGACTAAGTCACTTGTCTGAGGTTGAACCCTAATAGGTCACACACAAAAATGAAACTTTAGGCAGGGGCTCCAGGAATCAAGGAACTTTGCTCTTTGCTACTCTTTTTAATACATCATAATGGTCATAAGATCTATCTTTAATTTATTATTGCAAAGTACATTTAATAGGTTTATCAGTGGGGAATAATTATTGAATTCCTGATGTAAACCCTTCTTAGCATCCCGTCATCATAGGTAGTAGGACATGCAATTTGCTCATACTTTATTTCAATATTTTATATTCTCATGTGTGTGTTTTCTTTCTTGAGCTATATTTTAATCTAGTTTTGGTTTCAAGGATAGGTTAGCCTCATAGGAATGATTTCAGAAGCTTTCCATGTTTTCTGTACTTTGCAGCAGTTAAAACATTATTTGAATTATCTACTACTTAAAAGTATTTGGAACTAGGCCAAATAAACTTCTCAGCCTGGTAGATTTTTACCTCCATTATCAAATCTTTTTTCCTTTTTCTTTTCAAATTTCCTACCCTTAAAAAAAATAATTTGGATACTTTTGCTCAAAATTTGGGGCAATTCAGCTTGGTGTAGCTCAGTGAATAAGCGTCAACCTATGAACCAGGCGGTCAGGGCATATGTCCAGCTTTCCAGCTCAATCCCGGTGGTGGGGAGGGGGAGGGGCGGGTAGAGGAGGAAAGGGAGGGAGGTGGAGGTATGCAGGAAGCGGCTGATCAATGATTCTCTTTCATCATTTTTTTTTTTTTTAATCAATCTTTATTGTTCATATTATTACAAAGGTTCATCATTTCTTCCCCCCTCCACCAGGTTCCCACCCCACCCTCCGTCCCCCCCCCCCCCCCATTGTCCTCATCCATAGGTGCAGTTTATGTTCAGTCTCTTCTTCCCTCAATTTCCCCAATAGTAAATCCCTTTTCAGATAGTAAATCAGTTACTTAGCATTTTCTCATATCAATAATACCTCCACATGCCCAATGATACACTTCACACAAAAGACATTTCACTCTAGGTCAACCAGCCTCATCCAGGCCCCACCCAAGGCACTCACAGATCAACACCCCAGTCCTAAACTAACTCAACACATCCAGATCTAAGCCTTCATCACTTGATTCAGCAGACCCTCAAGTTCCCACGAAAGTTTCCAGCCATGTCTGAGAAGCAGCCGTGGGGCAGGGGCAGGCAAGGAGCGAGCTGTTCTGGGCCTGGCTGCTCAGGGCCTGGCCTCTGTTGCTCTGCTTCATTCCACAATCAGCTGCTCCGGGTCTGGTCACTGCCGCTCCCGACCTAGTTGCTCTGGACTTGGTTGCTGCTGCTCCGGGCCTAGCCGCTCCCAGCCTGGCAGCTGCTGCTCCGGGCCTGGCCGCACCCGACCCGGCTGCTCCCCCGGGCCTGGCCGCTCCCAGCCTGGCAGCCGCTGCTCCGGGCCTGGCCGCACCCGACCCGCCTCTCCCCCGGGCCTGGCCGCTCCCAGCCTGGCAGCCGCTGCTCCGGGCCTGGCCGCACCAGCCCCGCCTGCTCCCCCGGGCCTGGCCGCTCCCAGCCTGGCAGCCGCTGCTCCGGGCCTGGCCGCACCCGACCCGCCTGCTCCCCGGGCCTGGCCGCTCCCAGCCTGGCAGCCGCTGCTCCGGGCCTGGCCGCACCAGCCCCGCCTGCTCCCCCGGGCCTGGCCGCTCCCAGCCTGGCAGCCGCTGCTCCGGGCCTGGCCGCACCCGACCCGCCTCTCCCCAGGGCCTGGCCGCTCCCAGCCTGGCAGCCGCTGCTCCGGGCCTGGCCGCACCAGCCCCGCCTGCTCCCCCGGGCCTGGCCGCTCCCAGCCTGGCAGCCGCTGCTCCGGGCCTGGCCGCACCCGACCCGCCTCTCCCCCGGGCCTGGCCGCTCCCAGCCTGGCAGCCGCTGCTCCGGGCCTGGCCGCACCAGCCCCGCCTGCTCCCCCGGGCCTGGCCGCTCCCAGCCTGGCAGCCGCTGCTCCGGGCCTGGCCGCACCCGACCCGCCTGCTCCCCGGGCCTGGCCGCTCCCAGCCTGGCAGCCGCTGCTCCGGGCCTGGCCGCACCCGACCCGCCTGCTCCCCCGGGCCTGGCCGCTCCCAGCCTGGCAGCCGCTGCTCCGGGCCTGGCCGCACCCGACCCGCCTCTCCCCCGGGCCTGGCCGCTCCCAGCCTGGCAGCCGCTGCTCCGGGCCTGGCCGCACCAGCCCCGCCTGCTCCCCCGGGCCTGGCCGCTCCCAGCCTGGCAGCCGCTGCTCCGGGCCTGGCCGCACCCGACCCGCCTGCTCCCCGGGCCTGGCCGCTCCCAGCCTGGCAGCCGCTGCTCCGGGCCTGGCCGCACCAGCCCCGCCTGCTCCCCCGGGCCTGGCCGCTCCCAGCCTGGCAGCCGCTGCTCCGGGCCTGGCCGCACCCGACCCGCCTGCTCCCCCGGGCCTGGCCGCTCCCAGCCTGGCAGCCGCTGCTCCGGGCCTGGCCGCACCCGACCCGCCTCTCCCCCGGGCCTGGCCGCTCCCAGCCTGGCAGCCGCTGCTCCGGGCCTGGCCGCACCAGCCCCGCCTGCTCCCCCGGGCCTGGCCGCTCCCAGCCTGGCAGCCGCTGCTCCGGGCCTGGCCGCACCCGACCCGCCTGCTCCCCGGGCCTGGCCGCTCCCAGCCTGGCAGCCGCTGCTCCGGGCCTGGCCGCACCAGCCCCGCCTGCTCCCCCGGGCCTGGCCGCTCCCAGCCTGGCAGCCGCTGCTCCGGGCCTGGCCGCACCCGACCCGCCTCTCCCCAGGGCCTGGCCGCTCCCAGCCTGGCAGCCGCTGCTCCGGGCCTGGCCGCACCCGACCCGCCTGCTCCCCCGGGCCTGGCCGCTCCCAGCCTGGCAGCCGCTGCTCCGGGCCTGGCCGCACCCGACCCGCCTGCTCCCCCGGGCCTGGCCGCTCCCAGCCTGGCAGCCGCTGCTCCGGGCCTGGCCGCACCCGACCCGCCTGCTCCCCGGGCCTGGCCGCTCCCAGCCTGGCAGCCGCTGCTCCGGGCCTGGCCGCACCCGACCCGCCTCTCCCCCGGGCCTGGCCGCTCCCAGCCTGGCAGCCGCTGCTCCGGGCCTGGCCGCACCAGCCCCGCCTGCTCCCCCGGGCCTGGCCGCTCCCAGCCTGGCAGCCGCTGCTCCGGGCCTGGCCGCACCAGCCCCGCCTGCTCCCCCGGGCCTGGCCGCTCCCAGCCTGGCAGCCGCTGCTCCGGGCCTGGCCGCACCCGACCCGCCTCTCCCCCGGGCCTGGCCGCTCTCAGCCTGGCAGCCGCTGCTCCGGGCCTGGCCGCACCCGACCCAGCTGCTCCCCCGGGCCTGGCCGCTCCCAGCCTGGCAGCCGCTGCTCTGGGCCTGGCCGCACCAGCCCCGCCTGCTCCCCCGGGCCTGGCCGCTCCCAGCCTGGCAGCCGCTGCTCCGGGCCTGGCCGCACCCGACCCGCCTGCTCCCCCGGGCCTGGCCGCTCCCAGCCTGGCAGCTGCTGCTCCGGGCCTGGCCGCACCTGACCCGGCTGCTCTGGGCCCGGCTGCCCCGGGCCCGGCTGCTCCGAGCCTGGCCACTCCCAACCTGGATGCTCTGGGCTTGGCTACTGCTGTTCTGGGTCTGGCTGCTCCCACCCCGGCTGCTCTGGGCCCGGCTTCTCCGGGCCCGGCCACTCCGGGTCTGGGTGTTCCTGGACTGGCCACCCTGGGCTTGGCCGCCTCCGCCTCATGCCTGGCTGCCACTGCCCCAGGTCTGGCTACTCCAGTGCTGGCTGTTGATGCTCTGGTTCTGGCTGCTGTTGTTCTGGGGCCTGGCCGTTGCTGCTCCGGGTCTGGCTGCCACTGCCTTGTGCCTGGCCACTCTAGGCCTGGCCGTCGCTGTTCCAACATTCTGTCCTTTTTTTTTTCTTTTTAAAACGCATTTATGTTGCAATGTTGGCTGGTGAGTTGAGTTCTGACTTAGTCTTTGATTTTTCAAGATCTTCTTTATATTCTTTCTTAAGTAATTTTACTATTGTTTGCTCTCACTTGATTTCTTCACATTGAGAACTTCTTTGGTTTCTTCCTCCTTGTCCTGGGAGCTCAGCAGGTTGGCCTGTGGCACCCCTTTGTTCTCCGCGGGCTCCTGTGCTGCTTCAGCCTGTTGCCGGGACGGCGCCGCCCAGGAAGCAGCCCCCGGCCTTGGCTCCATTGCCCGAGCTCAGTGGTCAAAGGCTCAGGGGCACTCACGCCCCCAGGGGCCCCGTGGCCCGCCTCCTTGCTGGTGCCCGGTTGGCTGGAGTCCTGGCTGGAGTCCGGCAGGGGCTTCCGCTCCCCTCCGCGTTCCCCCAGCCTAGAGCTTTTTTTTTCTCCTTCCCGCTAGGGAAGTCCAGCATCAGAGTCAACAGACTGTCCTCTGCGCGCAGTTTGCGCGAGTCCCACAGACTGTCCTCTGCGCGCAGTTTGCGCGAGTCCCACAGACTGTCCTCTGCGCGCAGTTTGCGCGAGTCCCGGGGGCCCGGCCTTTCGCCGCTCTCCCCGGACTCCACCTCACAGCCCCGTCTCCCTCTGCCTGAGCCTGGGTCCCCAGGGATTGGCCCAGAACTGGGGTTCGGAGCAGTCCGGACTGAGGCTCAGCGCCGCCGGAGGCTTTGTTTCTTCCGGCTAGGGCAACCCAGCATCAGAGTCAACATTCAGTCCTCTGCGCGCATTGCGCGCGACTCCCGGGGCCCTGCCTTTCGCCGTTTTTCCGCCTCACGGCCCTGTCTCCTCCCGCCGGAGCCTGGGTCCCCAGGGTCTGGCCCATAACTGGGGCTCAGCGCTGCCGGTTCGGGGGGGCTCAGCGCTGCCGGTTCGGGGGTTCAGCCCAGGGTGGAGGTTTTATTTCCTTCCTGCTAGGGAAGGAAAGGCGGCTCCCGGCCCTCTCCTCCTCTCTGGCTGCGACCTCTCCGTGCGTGCGTGCGTGCGGGCGGGCGGGCGCGCAGCATGTCTCCGTACCTTAGGCTTTTTTTCAGCTCCTCTGATTTTCTTTCTGGTTTTCTCTTTCCTTCTTGTTGTAGAAATTTCAGTCAGTCGACTACCTGTAGCTCTGGGCAATGTCCACTCTACATTTTAGTTGTATTCTATTGAAATTGTTGTGTGCTGCCGCGGCTAGATGTCTACCCGAGCAGCCATCTTGGATCCTCAATCTCTCTTTCATCATTGATGTCTCTCTCTCTCTCTCCCTCTCTCTCTCTCTCTCTCTCTCTCTCTTTTTCTCTCTGAAATCAATTAAAAAATATTTTTAAAAACTTGGGGCATTTTATCTAGATTTTCAAATTTATCACATAATGTGGACCATCATACTATCTAATACTAATTTTTAAGTAGCTTTCATATTTTGATTATGCTCTCTTCACATTTATAGTTTGCGTGATCTCTTAGAATTTATTAATAAGATTTTCCAGAGATTTGCCTATTTACATTGCACTTTTTAAACAGCCAGAGTTAGTATTAGTGTTAAAATCTATTTGGCTTTTGGTTTTCTGATTTATTTATTTCTCTTTTATCTTCACTAAAACTTTCCTCCTTTTGTTCTGTTTGATGTTGCTCTTTCTTTAATTTCTTAAGCACATATAAAGTTTCCATCTTTATTTGTTTTCTTAGAAATGCATTTGTAATTTTATTTTGACCACAGAACACTTTGGAAGCTATTCCTGTGAGGCCAACTAGGATCAGAAATGGGCGTGGCTTAGTGAGCAACTGGACGCAAGCGTGCCGTCTTTGCCCCCCCTCCTTCTCCTGAATTTCTCCACTCACTCAGTTCTCAGACAGACAGGGCTGACCACTCATCACAGCGCTAGGCTTACCTCCCTCCGTTCTGCTAAAGGTCCTAGAGAAGAATTTTTGAAAAAATGATTCCAACTTAAAACCAACCAACCAACCACCCAACAGTAAACAAGCAGGTGGAGATGAGAGATGAACAAGACTGAGTCACATGCTCCCCCCCCGCTCCCTCTGCAATGAAACTGGACCTGTGGTGGATGCGGTGTTCCACAGGGTCTGGTGCATTTTCAAAAGGAAAATGAGGAACTCAATTGGCCAAAAGTCTTCCCCTGTTCTCCATTTCTAGGAAAGATCTCACTCTATCCTTTTCTTTCCCCAAGATCTTTTCGAGCCCGTGAGAATCAAACCATAAATCTGTGTGGCCCCACATTCCTTTACTATCAGAGAGCAAAGACCCTTCCCTGTGCTCTTGAGTGGGGGCGTTTGGTGGGATGGGATGTTGCTACGAGTTGATCATGCAGTGGGATAGAGCCCAAACTCAATACTCCCTCTTTCACAAGCCCCTTAGCCCAGACCACACACACAACCACCCACAAACCCTCTCTCCTAACCATGCGAACTATTACATAACATACACACAGTTCTGAACGCTCTCTGCTCCCTTCTGTTTTCAGAGCCCCCACCCAAAACCCGCCTGGTGAACGGTGCGCACCCCTGTGAAGGGCGAGTGGAGGTGGAGCGGGCCGGTCGCTGGGGCACTGTGTGTGATGACGGCTGGGACATGAAGGATGTGGCCGTGGTGTGCCGGGAGGTGGGCTGTGGTGCAGCCAAGCACACCCCTGCAGCCGTGTTATACCCCCCGCTGGCAGAGGACACCCAGCCTGTGTTCATTCAGGTAGCCCGGTGCAATGGCACGGAGGAGGCCCTGGCTGACTGTGAGCAGGAGGAAATCTTCGACTGTGGGCATGACGAGGATGCAGGTGCAGTGTGCGAAGACGTGTGATGGCAGGGCCTGGGGAATGGAAACGGGCTAACCCAGCCCTGAGGCCCTTCTCTACGCTGCCACCTCCAATTCACCCTACTGCTCATCATTGCCCCTTCCTCCTCCAGAAACACTTACCATTCTGCATTGGCATGTGGTCAGGATAACACCATTCTATCTAATAAAAGAGTGATATGCAAATTGACTGTACCGCTGCTGTACCCACAAGCCACACCTACCAGCCAATCAGGAGTGTGTATGCAAATTAACCCAAGATGGCTGCAGCAGGAGGCTTGGGTTTCCCCGGCAATGGAGGAAGCCAAGCTTTCTGCCTGCCCTAGCAGGCCCAGCCTCTGCTCCAGGCTACAAAGTTTCAATTATAGGAGATAAATAAATCCCAACAAAAATAGCTGTGACCATGGAATGAGCATGGTTCTGCTTAAGGCTACCAAGTTTCAATTATAGAAGATAAATACATCTCAGATACCAGGACCTCCACTTGGGTCAGGGGGTGGTGGGGGTAAGGGGGGGTGGCTAGCCTGCAAACCACCACAGGCCCCTCACGCAGGCAACACCACGCCCCAAGGGAACTTCCACCCTGATCCAGAACACTTTTCAGGGCAAACCACCTGGCCCCACCTGTGCAACAGGCCTCTATCCTATCTAATCCTATCTATTAAAAGACTAATATGCAAATTGATGGTCACTCCAACACACAAGATGGCTGCCCCCATGTGGACACAGGATGGCTAACACAAGATGGCCACCGGGGAGGGCAGTTGGGAGGGACCAGGCCTGCAAGGGAGGGAAGTTGGGGGCAATCAAGCCTGCAGGGGAGGGCAGTTAGGGGTGAGCAGGCCAGCAGAGGAGGGAAATTAGGGGCAACCAGGCCTGCAGGGAAGGGCAGTTTGGGAGGACCCAGGCCTGCAGGGGAGATTGTTGGGGAGACCAGGCCTGCAGGGGAGGGCAGTTAGGAACAATCAGGCCAGCAGGGGATCAGTTAGGCGTTGATCAGGCTGGCAGAGGAGTGGGGTTGGGGGTGATCAGGCTGGCAGGCAGAAGCAGTTAGGGGCAATCAGGAAGGCAGGCAGGTGAGCTGTTGAGACTAGCAGTCCTGGATTGTGAAAGGACTGCCCATTTAGGCCAGATCCTACCTGTATTGGGCCTAAATGGGCAGTCAGACATCCCTCGAGGTGTCCCAGATTGGAGAGGGTGCAGGCTGGGCAGAGGGACACCTCTTTCCCTGTGCACAAAATTCGTGCACTGGGCCTCTAGTTAGTTCATATTAGGTTAAATCCATGGCCATAAATAACCTTACTATACATTCCATTATTAGCCCATGCCTGCCATCTCAAAAGACACAACATTGATATATTAATGGCCATGAGTTGGAGCATAATGCCAGGAAAATAATTTAAAAACTGTAGAATGACACAACTTTCGTTATTTTAATCCAGGTCATACTGCATACCAACCTTGAGAAAAAAAGAACAAAGTTGGAGGTATCATGCTACCTGATATCAAACAATGCTGCAAGAATATAGTAGTCAAAACAGCATGCTACTGGCATGAATATAGAAACATAGATCAATGAAAAAGAATAGAGAGCCCAGGAATAAATCCATGCCTGTATGGTCAATTAATCTATAACAAATGAGGCAAGAATATAAAATGGGGTAAAGATAGTCTCTTCAATAAATAATTTTGGAAAAACTGGACAGATGCATGCAAAAAAATAAAACCAGACCACCTTCCTACACCATATACAAGAATGAACTCAAAATAGATTAAAGATATAAATGTGATACTCAAAACCACCAAACTCCTAAAAGAAATCATAAGCTGTATACTCTCTGACATTGCTTTTTGTAATTTCTTTTTACATTAAACAATGTAAAACAAAGGGCCTCAGGGCTGGGTAAACAAAAAATTTTAAACAAACAAGACTACATCAAACTAAAGACTTTTTCACAGCAAATAAACCATCAACAAAATGAAGAGACAATTTACTGAGTAGGAGAAAATATTCGCCAATGATACATTCAATAAGGGTTTAATATTAAAAATATATAAAGAACTCACAATTTAACACACAAACATAAAAAATACAATTTAAAAATTGAAAGAAGATCTGAATATATATTTCTTTTTTTAAAAATATGTTTTATTGATTTTTCACAGAGAGGAAGAGAGAGGGTTAGAGAGTTAGAAACATCGATGAGAGAGAATCATTGATCAGCTGCCTCTTGCACACCCGCTACTGGGGATGTGCCCGCAACCAAGGTACATGTCCTTGACCTTTGCAGTCCACAGTTCGACGCTCTATCCACTGAGCCAAACCGGTCCCGGCTGAATATTCATTTCTACAGCAAGGCATAGACAGATGGCCAGTAGACATATAAAGATGCTCAATATCACTAAACACTAGAGAAATGCAAGTTAAAACTGAAACTCCCATTTGACCCAGTGATCCCACTTCTATAATAGATATATCCCAAGAAACCAGAAACACCAATCGGAAAGGAAATATGCACCCCTATGTTCATAGCAGCACAATTCACCATAGCTAAGATTTGGAAACAGCCTACGTACCCATCAGCAGATGAGTGGATTAGAAAACTGGTACATCTACACAATGGAATACTACGCTGCTACAAAAAAGAAGGAACTTTTATTATTTGCAACAGCATGGATGTGGACTGGAGAGAATTATGCTAAATGAAATAAGCCAGTCAGAGAAAGACAAATATCACATGATCTCACTCATATGTGAGATATAAGGAATAACAAACTGATGAACAAAAACAGATCCAATACAAGAAGCAGGGGAGGGGAAGGGACGGTTAGAGAGCAACCAAAGGACTTGTATGCATGCATCTTAGCATGATAAGCATGACCAATGGACACAGGCACTGGAGGGTGGGGGCCTGCCCTCGGGAGTGGGAGTGGTGGGGAAAGGTGTCAATAAGGAAAAAGGAGACATAATTAATACTTTCAATAATAAAAAAAAAATACAAGTTGAACAGTTGTACTTACCAAAGGTTCCTTTGCTCAGCACACAGAAATGCCTGAGACGCAGGCCCTGCATCGGGGAGATGGATGCAATGGCAGGAGTGGGGGAAGGGGATGGGAGAGGTCCGGGACGGAGGCTGCAGACCCCGCTGTGGCCCAGCCACTTAGTGGTGGAGGAGTAGGGCTGGGACCCTCACACTGACCCAGGGGGTAAAAAGGGGAGAAGCGCATCCCCACTGGAGAAGCTGGGTCCTTCTTTCCCTCTCTTTGCAGCAAAACCCTGTAGCGGAAGCTGGGACGTGTTCAACAGCCCAGCCCCGCAGGGGCCATGACTAGTGAGGAGGCAGCACCGCAGACTTGCGGGTCCCTCTCTGCTCCGACCCCTGCGGGTGGAGTTTGGTTGAGGCCCTGGGGAAGCCTAGAGTAGCTCACTGGGGTCAAACACAGGCGACCTGCACCGCCACCGCCAGGCACAAGGCATTTCCCAAGACTGAGGTGGCATTGCCCTCTGAAGATCAGGGCCGCGCTGGTAGTGTGGGTAAGAGAACGGAAAATTTTGTGCTATAGCACCACCTACTGGAACAGCAAAACACAAACAAAACAAAACACATCTGTCCATCTGCTAAATTGCCATGAACCATTCTAGAATGTGTAATAAGTGAATAATTTACCAACGGTCCTGGTTAAATATTGGGAGGGATAAATGATTAAGCTCCAGATATTTTTTTTTAAATTCCGTAAATAAATAATTCTGAACATTCACAATGATCTTTGTGAATGACTCATTCATGCCGTTACAGAACCACAGTCTGGGGTAAATCCCTCACTCCGCCTGGGTTACTGCCGAGGTCTGGAGCGGGTGGGATGAATTCTGCCAGCCAGGCCACCTGCCCGGTACCCAGGGAGGAGTTTCCTGGAGATAGCTCACCCCCCTTTGTCACCTCACCAGGGCGTGGCCAGAGGCAGGCTGGCCTTCTCGGCCACCTGGAGGTTTGTCCTCAGGGGAGCTGGGGCAGCCAGAGTCCTTTTCCTCCATCCTCTCAGGGCAGGCTCTAGCACCGCCTGCATCCCAGGCTCTGCGCTAAATGCTGGGAAGCCCAAAGCAGACCTACGCCCCTGTGAGCTGTCTAATAATGGAGAAAAAATGGACATACAGTGTGACCGATGCCACCTTAGAGCGCTGGCCGAGCCCCTCTGGGAAATAGCTAACTCAGCGGGAGAAACGGAGGAGGACAACAGAGGGTGAAGTTTAAGGGTCTTCACTCTGTCAGAGAGGCCTGGATCCAACGCAGTCAAACTGGGCGTGGCTGTGTGCGGTGACAATGAACATGAGACTCTCCTTGGCTCACAACCTCAGAGACTCGCTGAATTCCAGTGAGGACTCTGCTCCACGTCACCATCGTCCTTTCCCCAGGATCTGGCTCCTGGAGCTGTCGGTCAAAAGTGACCCTTCCACCGGCCCGTGTGCTCGGTGGTTAAGTGTCGACCTATGAACCAGGAGTTCATGGCTCAGGGCACATGCTCAGGTTTCAAGCTTGGTCCCCAGTAGGGCGTGCAGAAGGCAGCTGATCAATGATTCTCTCTCATTAGATGTTTCTATCTCCTCTCCCTTCATCTCTGAAATCAATAAAAATATTTTAAAAATAATAATAAAAAGGTGACACTTCCACTGCCATTACATTGTCCAGAGAAAGTTATATAGCTGTGCTTGAATTCCACTGAGACAACTTAGAGAGAGAACAATATATATTGTTGTTTTTTTAACACACCTAATGCTTTCCCCAAGTGTAAACTCTGACCCTTACGTATTAACCATGCAACCACGGAAAATCACTAAAATCTTCTTTATCTTTTAATTACTTCAGCTATGAAATGGGTATAATAATAAAACTATCATTTTTTTTAGGATTTAAAGAGACCACCTGTGCCATATACTTAGTACTGTGCCTGGCACATGCTAAGTGCTCTGTAGTTCGGTTAGCTGTTGTTATTACAGTTTTTACTATCAG